CACGTGACCTACAGTGGAAAAACCCAAAGAGCCATCTCGCCAGTCAGGACACAGGTACCCAGTATATTCAGAAGTCCAGCCAAGGTTCCACATTTGTGGGATTTTTAAAGTTTTATTGGCTGCAGTCAACCCTTACCTTCTTAGGAAGCTCTAACTTAGGCTGCTGTTACTCATCAAAGGGAAAGAAATAGTCCTGGATCATTCTCACGAGAGAATCCTGAAGCTCTGCATACCCCAGATAATGGGCAGTACCACCTCCCATTTATGTTGCCCCTTAACAAAGCACACAGAGAAGCAGCATTATGCTTACTTAGGTGCGACAGGATGCAGACCTCCTGCAGTCCCGACAGGAAGGGGACGCAGCTGTGCTGGGGAGCTGCTCCAGTGCATGAGGGTTTAGGGAGCCGGAGGACAGGAAGTCAGGGAGGAAAGTTCAGCACTGGGCAGCCATGCCAGGAGCTCAGAGACCCGACTGCCTTTCAAACTGGGATGACCTCACATGAGAAGAGCGCGGGCAGGCATGATGCTGCCACAGAACCACAGCCTGCCTGGCAGCCCAGGCCAGTGCCCAAGCCAGGCTTCCCTCCACTGCTTCCAGTGGCCCTCGCTCAGTCACCAACATTCTCTCAGTGTCATGTTCTTTGGCTATAAAATAATGGCACTGTTGACAAGTCTCTGTCTCCATCATTATGTCAGAATCATAATAAAAAAAAAATTCTCCCTGTGGTCTTCCCTAAGATTTCAGTGGGGTGCTACAGACTGGCCCTAGATGTGGGGACACATTCTCAGCAGACCTCAATCCCCCCACGAAACTGCAAAGTGGGGCCCTCTTCCTTCCCAGACACTCTAATGGCTTGGCGAGGGCCATCCTGGACTCAGCTAACCTCCAGACCCAGAGATCAGCACAGCATGGCCAACAGGTGACCAGGGACAGGCCAAATGGCTGCACTTGAAGTGCAGGCTGGGGGCTGGCAGAAAACCAGTTATTCATCCAGATTCATAACCCACAGAATTCATACATCTTATTACTAGGTTTTCCTTTTCTTACTCCAATTTTTAGCTATTAGCATCTACCTATATCCTTAATTTCAGATGTGGGAAAAAAATTCTCCTGCCTACCTTTCTGTTGATCTACTGCTTTCAGCTTCTATAAAATGGGGAGAAGGTGGGAGAAAGTCTTTTCATTGCACCCCAGGAAGGCTGGCAGCTGTTCTCTGAGGCTTTGGGCACTGGCATAGTGTTACACACATGTTTACATTTTCCCTTTCTAGCGTACAAAGCAACCTTCAATCCAAAAGCTATGGTACACCCCCAAGTTAATCCATCAACCTCAGAAACAAGGAGGAGGACAGATCTGTCATTTATCTGAACACTTCTCAGTGCTATGTAATGCCATTTATCTGAGCAGCTCACTCAAGACAAGAAAAAAGACCACCTGCAAACAAGAGTGTGTCTACCCCAACACCATGCTGGTGGGCCCTCATGGTCCTCAGGAACCTGTTGCCACAGGAGGGGCTACGAAGACGTGAGCAAGTAGTGGACAAGGCTGGGAGCCCTAGAGCCCACATACAATTCTTTTTTTTTTTTTAATTATTGCTTTAATATATTCGCTATTGGTTGTTCTGTGAAATTCCCACCACCAATTCACTGGTACATCATCACTTTAGTCCCTTGTGCTCTTCCAGCCCCTGTCCTGGTCCTTCTCTCTCCTACTCCCCTACAGACTCTCTGATCTACAGCTGCCTGATGATTTTGATTTTTACTTTATTATAGTTACTTTTTTTTCCTGATTCCTTTTTTGTTTTGTCTACACTCCTCCTATAAGTAGAAATGTTTTTCTTTTTCTTTCTGGCTTATTTTGCTGAGCATGATCCTTTCCAGCTCCATTCATGTTTCTGCGAAGGTCATGAGTTTATCCTTTTTGATTGTTGGGTAATATTTCACTATGTAAATATACCATGCCTTCCATTTGGGGGCATCTGGGTTGCTTCCATAGCTTACCTTGTAAATTGTGCAGCAGTAAACATAGGGGTGCAGGTGTCCGTCCGAGTTAATGTTTTCCATTCTAATTGGGACTCCCTGTCTCCCACTCTGAGACCCAACTATGATCTCTACTCCAGGCAGCAAGACTAAAGGAGAGATCGCTAAGAGCACAGGGATTCATCAGAAATCTCAAGGCCACTGTCTTTACCTTGTTGGAAAATGAGCCTTCTGCACTCCACCAGTTGTTACAGAGGTGGGAAGAAGGAACTGAATCCATAAGCATGTGTGAAACACAATGTGTGCCCAGCACTGTAACACTCTCTCTAAGAAATACAAAAAAAGAAGAGGCAATTATAGCTCCAGAAATCCTCAGTGGTAGGTTTGAATGCACTCAGCCCAAAGCCAGAAGCAATCGAAGGCAGGATCAAGTACCGTTTTGTTCCAAAATCCATGGTGGGTTGTGTTTCAGAAAACACAGCTGGAAGGAAGATAAGCCCATGACAGTAGGGGACCCAGTAACAATTTAAAGGTAAGGTTAAATAAAGGCAATTTCTTTGACAACGGAGCAAAGAAGATACAATGGAACAAAGAAAATTTGTTCAGCAAGTGGTGGTGGGAAAACTGGGAAGCTACATGAAAAAAAAAATGAAACTAGATCACTGCCTCACTCCAGTCACAAAAATCAACTCGAAGTAGATTAAAGACCTAGACATAAGAACGGAAACCATAAAATACCTAGAAGCAAAGATGGGT